AACGAACATTCTTTTGAGAAGGTTCATGATACCATCCTTGTGCCTTCAAGTTCCACTGCTTCGGCGTGTATGTGAACACATTTGGGACTAACAGGGTTTACTAGAATCCCACCACTCCACCACAGAGTCACCGCAGTAGACGTTAGATGAGCGCTGTCGCTCCGCGGCACTTGTTAAATAGAAATAATGCTTAAAGATATGCTAGTGTTCTAATTCTGTCTTGAAATGATGTTGAGTGGTGCTTTGTGTAAATGCAGTCGTTTGTAGAATTCAGTGATCCTATGTGTGTATTATCTTAATTCTTATGCAATCTCTTAAGATGAAACATCGATTGTGCCTGTAGGGTTTTTACTTATTTTGACTGCCATTGACGTCACTTTATCGCCTAGTGCAAGATAATGCAGATGAAATTGTACAGATTTTCTGATGTGAATTATATGACGGTATAACAGGAAGGTAGGTAAAAACATGTAGTATTAGGTAGCTGCTGTAATTTTATCCCTGACCTAATGGTCGCATGCTTCCCTGCGATGTGTTCGTGTTTCTCTCTCTCCTTCAGCTGAATGTGTGCGTTAAAATTGCCTGTGTAACTAACTATACATCTTCTAGTTCATGTGGTCATATATCTTTGATAGTCTTTGCTTCTAGGGATCTGAGTGGAAAAGTCTATCCGGGTTTGTCCGTCGTTCGTAGAATATCGCTCGCTATTGATTCATTCTGGTCTGATGTCGTGTTCTCCCTGTCATAAATCTTTCTTAATCAATGACCTGACTGTTCGAGTGTCCAACAGAGAGTCTGTAGAAAGTTGGCGTGCGCATTACGTGTGCCATTCTTACATATACACGTTAACCCCTTAAGTGAAGCTGAAACGAAAGTCATTAACCATGTTGTAGAATTTCGATTGGTTTGCTCCAGTCGGCATCCGTTGCCATGCATTTATCCGCGGGCCTCTGTATAAGATGGTATACTATGGTTTGTTATAAGTGTGACTGTAAGAAATGTGCGCGTGTGCGGGTTTGTTTTAAATGCGATTTCAAATCATGTTTGCAGTTTGCACAGCAGAAGCAGTTGTGTACACTTGACTCGCGGTTTGCTGAAGCTGCTGGGGAGCACGACACCGCCTCCCTGCGCGTTCGTGCACTAGTCCACTCTCTATTTGATGCATTTACATAAAATCAATACTTTAGCTACTGAGATGGCACGCTGCGGCGTGCCTGCATCCCTATACAGCACAGGTATTTGCCAACAAAGACACCGATCAATGTGCCTTTATAACTCGGTGATCGTGTATGTGTGTGTGAGTGTATCATTGCATGCATCGGCTGCACAAGAAAAACCTAATTACTTATCGTTTTAATCTGCACACCGCTGACGTAACGCCAAGCGTATATATTGTCATATATATGATGTCGCTTTTGTACTAAGAACGCGCTACTACACTTTTCGACACGCGCACGTATAAGCACGTATATGCACGTATAAGCGGCTACTCAAAGGCCACTGCAGTGAACGAGTTGAGATGCTGGCACTGGCTGCATAACAGTTAAAACACGAAGGCAAGTGTATCAAAATGATGCGTGCGTAATGAAGTCTAGTAGCATGAAATTATCCGGCTGGCTGTGTGAAGCCGCATGCAGTTAACGGTTGGTTATTGACATACTGGCGAGAGTCGCTGGGGTTTGCCTGCTGAATCGGGGGTAGCAGAAGGCCTCGGTGCCACGTCTACGTGCATACACGCATGTACACGTGGCAAAATAAAATGTGTCACGCGAAGTGTATGTACATGTAGGGAGTCTGCAGTTGCCCACAAGCAGTGGGGAGCTAAGCAGCGTTCTTTCGTTCTCAATGCCACTGTAGTTGCTGTTAGGTCCTTCGTGTACATGAACGTATTCGGACACATTTTTGCATCTGTGCACTGTGTAAATTATTCTGTTCAGGAGTTCGAAATCGAGCAGGAAATCGAAAATGTGCAATGAGTGAAAATTATCGACATTGTTCTTTGTAGCCTACCTGTTGGGTTGCAACGTTAGAAAATTGTTTTTGTAGTTTGTATTTTGATTCCTAATATGCGAATGTAACGTCATTTACAGTGTATAATAGTCATTTTGTGCTTCTTTTATGCGTACTCGATATAAAATCGTGTCCCGATGTTTGTTTTTATCTAATGTATTCCCTTTATGACTATTACTGACATTCCATTGATCTGTCGAGGCTACACTATGAGTGCTGGTGAGCCAATGGCTACGAAAATGTGAAACGTGTTTATGCATTGATGGTATCCCGATTAGCAAGGCAACTGATGATGTTGGGCTGGTTTGTTTTGCAGGTTGGATCTAAACCTCGCGCAGGCTGTCACTGATTCTGTGAATCGTTGATTGTAACCTCACTTAGAAGAAGCATCTCACACATGATGGCTAATATCCCAACGAGCAAACGGCCGCGCATGGACACACCAGGTATGTGTCTGATGGGGGCAAATCCTATACATCTGGTGCATTAGTGCATGTGCATGTGGTCACGCCTGCTTGTGTATATATACGTGAGTATATATATACTACGTGAGTATATACTACGTGAGTATATATACGTGAGTATGTGTGCATGTGAATAGATGAATGTGTGTGTGTGCGTGTTTCGAAATTTGCATTTATTGCAAAACCTTTCTTTATACACAATCAAAGTCAAACAAGAAACACATCTAAGTATTTGTAGTTATAATTATTTATCATCTGAATTGCCATACTGCCACAAAACTTAATTGAATGAAATTCGTTTTAATTGGACATCTGGGAAGCTGCAGAGAAGCATGCAATTTTCAAGCATAAATGGCTTCAGACTATCGGTGTGTTACGGCTGGCATAGATTATCTGTTCCCTTGCGTGAGGAAGAAACAACGGGAGGAATTAAAGCAGAAAGTTTCTGTATCTAGCCATGCTAATTAGATAATATAAAAAATCAGCATGTTAATCTAGCTATGCATGTCTAGTCTAGACACAATCCAAAACTCTACCACTATAGGTTAATGAACTTTATGGAGATTATATTCACTTGATAACGTCTAACAAGTTATAATACATATTGCAGATTTAGGTGAATCTATATATAAACAATCAATTAAAGGGAAATAATTATCCACTTATAAAACCATCATTTAATGGAACATCTTTAGCTTATATTATAATGACAAAAGTAGCAACATTAACTATGAAAGGAAACACTTACAATATATAATGCTCCTTTTTTTCTGAATCACACATGACTAATCTTAAAAGTCTCATTCCATTTATCTGGCTGGTGAGCGAGGCAGCAGCACACCCTCTATTACACTCATCGCTTGTACTTATACCAAAAGATGAAGGCCTGTGAAATAAAATCATGTGATGAATCACGTACTAGTGTAGAATGGGAAATCGGCGTCGCCAAAAGATTGAATGAGTGAAGACAACAGTCAGAGTTAGAAACGTGTTTTTTAATGTTTATTTTAATTATTCATACAATGTTTATTAACGGGAGTCCGGAGTCAAATACTCCCTGATTTACTGTCGGACTCCCTGATTTGACATATGCAGGAGTCCGTGTGATACCCTGAAAATTCTGCCATACTAATTAGTTCGTTCCAGAGCATGGCCTCGCGGAATTACTGTATTTTTCAGCTAATGTCCAACGAAAATTTGGCAGACGTGCAACCGCATGAATCTTAAAAATAAGCACATGCGTTATTGTAAATATCTTTAATTTTGAACCTCAGACTGCGGACTCCCTCATTTTGCTGCGGACTCCCTCTTTTTGAGGGTAGGGAGTCCGTTGGACTCCCGTGTTCAAAAGTTCATTTCTACCCCTGCTATTGCTGTAAAACTGAGCCCATGTGTATGGAAACCATCATGAGATGCATATTTATAGGAAATAGTGGCAATCATTTTGCTTTATTGCCTAATATTAGGTTTTTAGCCTTGTAGTGCTGTGCACAAATATGATATGTTTCCTGATGCCTCAGCTGTTCTTAAAACCAGTTCAATCTTTTGTGTGCGCACAATCTATAGATAGGTTTATTGTATTTTATTTTTTTTGGCCACGTTTTCCTGTCATCGAGGAGATCGTATAAATTGGTTTGGTCATTACTCGTCATAGACATTGTCAATCTGCATTTCCCGTTATGGTAACTTCTTTGCGTTTGCAGTCTTGCCAAGAGGTGCTATCGGTAATGGCCCGATGCATCCGCGCCCTCTGGTGGCACTGCTGGATGGCCGCGACTGCTCAGTAGAAATGCCGATTCTGAAGGATGTAGCAACCGTGGCCTTTTGTGATGCCCAGTCCACCACGGAGATACACGAAAAGGTGAGAGTTCAGATGTAAAATTATTGTACTATTTATATAAAAGAATACACACACAAGTTTAGCCATGAAATCGAAGATTCTAGCCATGATGTCAGAAGGCATGCGAATGAGTAGAACGACGTCCAGCGTTATTTGATACTCTGTGAACGAAATATATTGCGTATGTATAGACATGATTGTGTGACGCGTTTCGTTGTCGGGAAAAAGTGGAAAAAACCCATGGCATTCTGGTTTAGTTGTGGGTTGTGCATGGATTCCCATGTTCAAAGATTGAACAAATTACCCAGGATGTAATCCAAATATTACTCTATTTATGACGTGTCCTTTATAAACACGTGCCCATTCTGTAGAGGGGTTAACTATATTGCTTCCATTGAAGAGAAACCCCAAAAGTGTCCTTTATAGGCATACAGGTGACTCGTCTATAGTGATTTCATTATGTAACTGCCAATTAAGGAGAATTTTTTATACTTTTCATGTAATGCCAAGTATTCTTCATAGACAGCTGTTCATTTTCTGACACGTGGCTGCTAACACAGGTGTTCGTGTGCTGCTGCTCCTATGCTGTATTTGCTGTATTATTGGGTGGTAATGCCGGAAGCTCGATAGCAAATCTCTCGAGAGCTCATTTAACACGACACGTGATAAAACCGCACGGCAGGAAAATGTTTTTCATTTGCGATCGCTCGCGCGTCGTCCCCGGCAACACTTAACAAACGCGCAGCGATCGTTCGAGCGTCGTCCCCGGCAGCATTGGTCTCACGTTGCAGGTGTTGAACGAAGCCGTAGGGGCGCTCTTGTGGCACACAATCACACTGTCCAAAGAAGACCTCGAGAAGTTCAAGTCGCTGCGCATCATCGTGCGAATCGGCACCGGGTTCGATAACGTCGACACGAAAGCGGCCGGCGAGCTGGGTAGGTGCCGCGGAGGGGGCGAGGGGATGCCTGCTTTGGAAGAGCGATGTTCGAGAGCGTAACGTAAAATTTGTTGGGGCAAGGCGATTGATGCTTTCGATGTAATCAGCTCGGAAAGATGCGGAAGGGGAGATGGGATGCTTGCTTAAAAGAGAGATGTTCGAGAGTCTAATTTATTGTTTGGGGCAGGGCAAATGTTGCTTTGGGTTTAATCAGAAATTCAAAGGCACCACGTCAAGGTGAACAGGCATCTAGGCAAGCATTTCCTTCACAGAAGGATTGCCAAGTAATCATTTTAACAAAACTTTGTGTGTGACAAATTGGGATGCATACACAAGATAGGATTTATGGGACATTTATGTGAATTTTACATGTATCATGTGTTTTTATAGGATATGAGTTACATGGCACATATGTAAATCAGTTATGGCGGCCACGGCTGTTTATTTAGTGCCTGAATAATATGCCTATTAGTTTGCTTTTTCTGTGTCACTAATATTTTAATCGTAGTATGAAGTCTATAGATTGGTCAAAAAACATGCTTCTACATACAAGCAGCCACATTCTTAGTAAGAAGAGAAGATGACACATAAATATTACTGTATGTGCCTGTGTCCGTAGCATTTGTGTTAGCAATTAGTATGCATCATGTGTTAACCTATGCTGTCTTCTTCTCATTTCGACAGGCGTTGCGGTGTGTAACGTTCCGGGTGTGGCCGTGGAAGAAGTGGCGGACAGTGCGTTCTGTCTTATACTGAACCTCTACCGTCGCACGTACTGGCTCGCCAACATGGTGCGGGAGGGGAAGAAGTTTCCGAACCCCGAGCAGGTGCGGGACGCCGCGCAGGGCTCAGCGCGAATACGAGGCGACACGCTCGGCATCGTGGGATTGGGTACGTGTCCTAGATCATCACCGCCGATCTCTGTGTAACAACGCTCAAACCTGCGTATGTGGGTCGCTTACGAGAAGTGCCGAGAGTGTGCTTCATAGACAGGTTTTCGTTCAGTAGACGTTGTTTTGCACTGTATGATTCCAAATCTAGGGACTACTGACCGAGCAAACAAATTTGACCGTAGTCCTCTCTCTTCAAGCCGATTGATAACAGAAGGTAAATAATTGCATAAATTCTGCATATTCAATCATCAATTACTGTACATGATAACGTCACACATCAACTTCCGGGGCACCACGACAGGTACGGAGGGCAACAGTAGCACTCGCCGGCGATGCCATAGTGAAATTCGAACCCTGCTATTCTTCCCCCCCCCCATTCAAGCTGACTAGGTCAACAGCAGGCAAATAATGCTCGATCACAACGCGCACAAATTCTCGGTAGTAAATCGCACGATTGCTCCATCGTGCAGGTCGCATCGGCACGGCCGTCGCCATGCGGGCGAAGGTGTTTGGCTTCAGCGTGATCTTCTACGACCCGTATCTGGTGGACGGCATCGAGAAGTCGCTGGGGCTGACGCGCGTCTACACGCTGCAGGACCTGCTGTTCCAGAGCGACTGCGTGTCGCTGCACTGCAGTCTCAACGAACACAACCACCACCTGATCAACGAGTATACGATCAAACAGATGAGGCCAGGTAAGCACAACCACCACCTGATCAACGAGTATACGATCAAACAGATGAGGCCAGGTAAGCACAACCACCACCTGATCAACGAGTATACGATCAAACAGATGAGGCCAAAAAGCACAAGAACGCAATATGAGAGAGGGAGTGAGAGAGTGCAATAATATGAGAGAGGTAGTGAGAGAGCAATAATATATGAGAGGTAGTGAGAGCGATGAGCCAGTTTGAGAACTACGCGAAGCGCATTAGGAAAACGAAAAGTTACGGGTTGTATAACGTTTCACGTCCACCTCTTACAGGAGCGTTTCTAGTGAACACGGCGCGGGGCGGACTCGTGGATGAGGGGGCCCTAGCAGCCGCGCTCAAGGATGGCCGAATTCGAGCAGCAGCCCTGGATGTGCATGAGAACGAACCGTTTAATGCTAACAGTGGTAAGTAAGCGCTGATGTCGCAGCTTCTGCGTCATTGTGCGTTAGATTTATTATCACCATCTTCATAATCTGACAAGAGTTACTGACCGCTCGGCTAGACTTAGTAACTGGCTGACAGACTCGGTGGCCAACTGCCTGGCTGACTGACTGGTGCCAGATTACTACTGATAGCATGTCTGGGCCTGTCTAACTGCTCATCCAGTGCGTGCCTCTATGTCCTGCAACCTGCATGTCCGCTTGGAAATCTACGTACCTACCTGGCTAATCATTTGCCTAACTTCATGCACCTTCGTAATTTGTCACCAGATGGCGGGCGGTGACATTCATCTCACTGAAGCTCTCACGCCAGTAAATGCTTTGGATTTATCTTTGGAATTATTTAATACATTTATTACATCTTGAGCGCGCACCAACAAACATGTAACGATGACGTGTCGTGACAACTAATGTGTCGCATTGAATAATGCGTCACGACAACTACGTGTAATGACTAATGCGCCGTGACTACTGACACGTATTTGTTGTCGGCAGGCCCGCTCAAGGACTGCCCGAACCTGATCTGCACGCCGCACGCCGCGTGGTACAGCGACGCGAGCATCACCGAGCTACGTGAGATGGCCGCTGGTGAGGTGCGGCGCGCGCTCACGGGCCGCATCCCCGACGGCCTGCGCAACTGCGTCAACAAGGAGTACCTGCGCCTGAGCCAGTTCCGCGACGGACTCAACGGGCAGCCGTTCAGCTACCCGCCCGTCGCGCTCGCACATTCCACGACCGCGCTCGAGCCGATGATGGCGCACGCCGCCGCCGCGCTGCCGCACCCGGCCGCCGTCACGCCGCAGCCGCCGCACTCGACGCTGCCCGACCCGCCGGCCGCAAGCAAGGCCGAGAGCGGCGACGTGCATTAGTGCGGCGACGTGCATTAGTGTGGCGGTGCACGCGAGCGTGCACTAGTGGGGCGGCGGCGGCAGCCCGGCAGTTCTGTGTTACGTGCTGCATTATCGTTTGTCGGAGAGCGTGCGGTCGTCCGAACGGGCCGACGCGTCGCTAGCACGCTAGCGTTGTCCGTCGTACGGCGAGCGCCATCTTGTTCGTCTGAAGTCGCGGGGACGGTCGTTGACGCTAGTATCGTCTGTGTTTCATCTGTCGGGGTCCCGACTCTGTCGCTCCTGTGAGTGACCATGCGCGTCTCCTCTCCCCTTTCCATACTAGGCACAGAATTGCAGAGCTAACAGTTGAAAACACAATCGTGCATAGTGCACTAGCATATAGTTTCCTAGCCAGGTAATGTTGGGACATGGGTCCACTAAGTGCACACTGGTATCTGCTGCTCATTTGAGTAGCATGCTCGTGACACTCACCCCTCTTGTACTAGGCATCGAATCGAACTGCACGATACTCTGAAAGCAAACGCCGATGCATGACGCACGCTGGCCGGGTAGGCCCCGATGTGCAGCGACGGTGAATCTTGCAGCCGGTATCGAGGGTCGCTCCGTGTCGTGATGGTCTTTGCAGTTTAGTGCGGATAATGACGGCATGTAACACAGAATCGAGCCGCGTCGACCCGTCCGTCGATCGCGTTGTCGTCGTCGGAACAGACTATGTGCTACGATGATGCAGCTGAGTGTGACACTCCTGCTGCAGCTAGAGAGAGATCGAGGGAAGGAGGCCTACCACTGGAGCAACCACTGTGCATAACATTTTTGGCAGGGAGTCGGCGCAGATGTTGCGAGTGGACCTGCGCTACTGGTATGCTGAAGTGCCATTGATCGTGGCGGTGTGGTGTGACATCCCATTCTGTGCGAGTAATGGTTGGAAGAGGCGTAGGAAGGCTGTGTCCACATGTCCGCCGTACGTACAAGAGTAGCTGAGAATGGTAATCGTAGAAAAATCGTATAACCTATATTCCGTGAGCGTAGGAGTGGGAAAGTGTGGTTATCAGCCTTTGTCCATTATTAGATAGCCGATGTCAGTTTTCTGTTGATATTTGTGGAGGTTATCATCCGTGTTTGTTTGCATTTGATAAATTCACCAGTTTTAGTGACCCCTAACAGGTTTTAAGACACATTTAATACTAGTTGCAACGTTTCTAAGTATGTGTGTATTTGAATCTGTCACTCGATGATCATGATGCAAGAAGATTCATAGATTGGGATGTAAAGGTCATGTTACCAACCCTTCACTTGTTTACCTTGTTTACCATAAACATTTAATTAAGTTCATGCTGTGTCGGGAGAAGAGAGAGCAGGAAGATTTCTTCATGTGTACAGACGGTTGATTGAGATGTGATGCGGTAAGACTGTAGTTAATGGAAGCAACAGCCGCCATACTCTGCCTCGTCTCATTTTATATAAAACCAGGAGCCCGTTGTCATGAAACATCGTAAATAGTTATGGTTATCAAAGCTCTAAAGTGTCAGAACTTTAGTGCATCACGTGTGATGTAAATGCGAAGACGTCACAGAGCTGTAATAGCAGTATATATTTATGTTTCTGACAGGATGCCACAAGTGACTCGCAAGTAACATAGTGAGGGATAAGTTCAGGACATCGCTAATTATAATTTCTTTGCAGGGCGACAGTACCACACAGTGATGCTGTAGGGAGAGGGGGTCCATCCCAAACTGCAGGGCGAGAGAGTCCATCCTACACTATCGGGAGAGGGGGCCATCCCATGCCATAGAGAGAGGGGTCTGTTCCATGGTATAGGGAGAAGGGGTCCATCTCATGCTATATAGATAGACGTCCTCATAATAGACAGACAGGGGTCTAACCCCCGGGTCCTATAGAGAGAGAAGGGAGTCCATGAGACGTTATAGGGAAAAGGGGCACTCGCTGAAGGGCATGATGCCTGGTAGAGAACTGGACAGCGTGTGCAAGCGGTGGTAACGGAATTAGCGGGATTATCAGATATATGTAGTATTACACAGGAGATGCCTAGTAGAGGTCACATACACATACATACGCACGCACTGTGAGCATTCTCCACGTGTTTGTGTGCTACACGTGTATCCAGTGTGTTTAGACCAGCTCGCTCTCTGCCCCTGCACCAGTCTCCACTTCTTACACCCCCACCCCCCAGGAGCTGAAGATTTGATAGCAGCTTTGAGTATTAGAAGTTAGGTTAGCGTAGGTCATGTTAGCTTTAGACAAGAAACACGTTGGCTGGCGTGCCTCTCTTCTGCACTTTTTTTTTGCTAATGCGTCTTCGAATTGGAATGTAGTTGCATTGGTATTTGTATTGCATGACCTGTTTGCCAGCTCGGCGTTGCTGCAAAAAACGCAGGCGGGGGTGAAAGTTTCTTTGCACGTTATGCAAGGTAACGAAGCTCCTGATGAAATCGGTCATGTGCACGTGATGTCACAGCAATATAGTTAGTTATACGAGTGGGTCGAGTGGGTCACAGGTTTCAAGGTCACAAGTAACCACGAGTTCTGTTTCTGATGACAACCTGTTATATTTTTTCAGAGGGTTGAGTGTTCAGAGCATCTTGTCTTTTACATGTAGTATGTATTTTAGTATTTATAATGTGTGATCCCTCAAGTCCCCCCCTTCCCCACTGCGCACACGCATGCACAGTCGCACACACGCACCCGCGGACTCCGTATGTATCTGTGCACACATCAGGACACACGTACACGTTGCACTTTTTATAGCTGTCTGGGATTTATGGCCCAACACAACAGAACTCTAGGTTTTGAGTTATCTCGTTAGGTCCTTCTCAAATTAGGAACATAGCAAGCATCGGCGCAAAATAATTATGTCTATTAGGGTACTAGATGTTAGTGTCTGAACTCCAAATGCAATGACCTAGGTTTTGTTCTCTTAATATATTTCCGTTTTCCCCGAGTATCATCAATTTAGGATTGCGTTTTCGTAAACCTACTTTGGATTTGTTTCATTCAGGTTTCTCATTATCAACGTTGTTGCTTGCAGGCACACATTAGGACGTGTGGACAAACGTCACTTGCCAGTCAGTAGTGTTATCGGCATTGTATCGTAGAATATTTCAGTGGATTGATTTCTCTTTCTCTGCGTATTTTCGCGGCGTACGTATTTTGATTGTGGCCCCATCTTAGAAATTGGTTACTCGTCGTGCATTTGTGTTGACAGTAAAAATGGTCGGCACTTGGCGTGTGGTGGGGGCTGTGCAGTCCCTTCTCTGCACCCCCTCACTCTCTTTCTCTCTCCCTCTCCCGCTCCTTCTCCCTCTCTTCCACGTTCTCGCTCTTTACTTATCTCTCATCAATGCTTATGACGTGAATGAACACAGTTACACTACAAATGCATGCCTAGGTTGAAAGTGCATGGTCGAAGTTACATCAGGTTGTATAACGGTTTTAATACAATTGTTATAGTGTCAGGATTGACGCATCTACAATGAATCAGATAGGCAGTGATAACGTTTGCACACGTAGGAGATACACCAGTGTAGTTACGAAGAGATTTTTCTTAGCAATTTTCATGTGTACATGTATGTCTTATAAATATATGCAATTGTGAGCTGCTGCCCCCATCTTCTGTTAAGGCCTGCTTTGCGTGTCACCTGTGTTAGAACCGAGTTGCCTGTGGACGTTGCCAGGTGTATTCACGTGTGTTTGCAGAGCTGTTTCGAGGCAAAGCATCGCGTTGGTGCATGCAATCAAAAATGAAGCGCCGTTCAGCAAATGCACGACGACACGGAGCGGCTCGGTTCGCTCACGAACGCGAATTGTCCTGTTTGGGATCATAGCGCCACCGGTCGTGATGCTGGGGTGGTAGCAGCAGCAGTCCGCGTCACGCTGGCTGTTGTTTTCACAATTTTCTGCAGGTACATGCCGACGTGACGGTGGCGGTGACGTCACGTTGTGTTGTGGGGGGTTGTTCTGTACAGTATAGCTTCGTGTTCGTCTTCATCATTGAATCATGTTCGTACGAATCATGTCCGGCTAATCATTACACAGAATCTTTAATAAAACTCGTGTGGAGTTTTAAAAAAAAAACACGTTGGAAGTTTCGAGTTTTATATATGGGGCGTGATGGTAATGGGTTGTATATCACTATATGTTATTCAGAAAATGCTGTACTGGGGTTTGACGTTAAACATGAGGGGTGATACTCCATTAGGAGTGTTCCCAACTTTAATGTCATTATTATATATATGGTCATGGTCATATATTAGTTTGTGGTTTAATGTCATTTAGGTTAGGGTTAGGGTTAGGGTTAGGATTATCAATCATTAATCATTAATCATTAATGATATCAAAGTTGGGAACACTCCTAATGGAGCGTTAGCCAACGAGCTGCTGTGAGCATTGCGTACTCATTAACACTAGGCAGATGGGAAGGTTCCTAAGATACCATGTAAACTATGAATTCATCTCCTAAATATAACTTACTCCCTATTCATTTGCCATGGACAAAATGCGGATGCCCTTTCTTTGGGTGTTGAAATTCTATCGCCGACGGAGATGTCCACGGTAATATCTGACCCCAGAATTTCACTTCGGCGGCAGCACCCCGCCATTCCCTGCCGCTATGCTAAAGTACCTGAGCAATAGTGGGGAGCACACACCTGAGCCTATACTATTCATAGTGTAGGGTGATAGTAGGTTATTTAGGTATGTATTATGAAACTTCAGAATTTTTCATATAAAAAACTATTGCAGAGTGTGTCCTATATCCCTCTAGTTTGAGAAAGGAAGATGGAGGGTGGAGAATGAGGAGGAATAGAGGATGGAGGCGGGAAAGAAGAAGGGGAAAAGTAGTCGATAGGGTGAAGAAGGAAATACCAAGGGTGAACGTGATTTCTGTATTAGCGAGCCTTTGCGAAGCTCAATTTTAGCATCAAGTAGAAAGGGCATATTCACCAGCAGCCTACTGTATAATGTCTAGTGCTATGTCGAAAGTTACCAATGGATATTCTTGCTTTTCACCTATGGGAGCATTTCGCTCATTCCTTACTGGTTCTGCGCCTACGACTGTTGAGAGTCCCCAGGTGAGTTGTCTTCATAAGTTTATTTACTATATTTGTGTAGCAATTATAGGTAGTTGGTTCATTTTTAGCTCGCCTTGACATCGTCAAGATGAGCTATTGCCATGGGGTGTCGTACGTCCGTTTGTCTGCCCGTCAACATTTGCAAATTGGCAACGGTCAACGATAACTTGAGAACCGTTTGACCAACATGTTTCAAATTGCATACAGTTGTTACTCCTATGGGAGAGATGTGAACGTCCTATTTTGGAGCACGCCAGTTGACCTACTTTCGAGCCACGCCCACTTTTTAGCAAAAATTGAAATGGTCGTGTCAGTTCAGGTTCAACTGATTTTGCTCATTTTTGGCATGTGAATGAATAAGGACTGGCCCCCAAAACATATCACATGGGTTTTGATATTTTTTTTAATTATGCAAATTATGTAGATTTCGGCAATTTCACTGCATTTTAGTGTCTGCCTACGGTCAACGATAACTCAAGAACCGTTTGACCCACATGTTTCAAATTGCATACAGTAGTTACTCCTATGGGAGAGATGTGAACGTCCTATTTTGGAGCACGCCAGTCGACCTACTTTCCAGCCACGTCCACTTTTTGGCAAAAATGGAAATGGCCATAAGTCAGTTCAGGTTCAATGGATTTTACTCGTTTTTGGTATGTGAATGAATAAGGACTGGCCCCAAAACATATCACACGGGTTTTGATCTTTTTTTAAATTATGCAAATAAGGTAGATTTTGGCAATCTAATCGAAAATCAAAATGGCGATCATTTAGGCGTAGCGCCATCTCTCGCCCAGATTTCAGACTTTCAGATCTGAAACATATTATTTTCGCATCAAACCTAACCTGAAACAAAACAGTTGAAATTTCTATTAGTATAAAACAGGAAGAATAGACATTTGATCACATTTCGGTCTGTCATAGTATGAAACACTTACCAAATTTTAAATATCATCTCCCTCTTCTATCACACCCAAGGTGAGCTATAGTGTCATTGACACTTTCATTTATATAATGGTTTGCTTTTGTATGCTAGAAAGGAAATTGTGCGTAAGTGTGCGCATGGTGAAGCTAATATTACGCTGTCAACGTTCAACCATCTGCAGATAATCCTCGCTTCCTCACAATCCATCATCTTTTGCCCTTCCCCATTCACCATGTTCTCCTCTTCCTCGTCCTTGTTCTTCTCTTCCTCATTCCTGTTCTCCTTGTTCCCTTCCTCATTCATGTTCTCCTTCTCTTCCTCCTCCTTGTTCTTCTCTTCCTCCTCCCTATTCTTCTTCTGCTCATCCGCCTCCCTATTCTTCTTCTTCTGCTCACCCTCCTCCCTATTCTTCTTCTTCTGCTCACCCTCCTCCCTATTCTTCTTCTTCTGCTCATCCTCCTCCCTATTCTTCTTCTTCCTCGCATGCAAAGAATACCCAAGGGCATGATCAAGAAATTTCAAAATCTCGAGACCTCTCAGAACATAGATTATATAGACTATGCTATAGATTTTTTTTTATATAGAATATGCTCTGATACTGCAAAGTTTAACGTTAAGTATACTACCACATTTATTTAGTTATGTTAAATGATGTAAGCAGTACGAAACCCCAATGTAATCAATAACATATATTTACTATACAAAGGTACTATACAATTCATTTTGACTTGCATACTATATGAGTAGTACCATGAACATATGCACCCTGTTCATGGTACATGTGTTCATGGTAATACAAAGACGTGTTTGAACTTTCTGTGAAGTTTTAGTGCAGTATCTGGCAAGGATGGCGTAATAATAGTTAAAAGATTGTGAAAAATAGCACTGTGTCGATATACATAAATGAGAAGTAAATATAGAAGTACGAGAACTTCATTGCCACAAGGAATAAATATGCGCTGAATACCTCCTTGCTTTAGAACGTGTCACACACTAGGCTCGTTTGAGTACAGAATCGACCGACGAGAGCTCGCACTAATCGATTCTCACTCCTGAGCAGCAGGTTCCTCCACCACACCACCCATCCCCAACGCAACGCAAGCATGCACCATCAGCGTCAACTCTTCCACCTCGGTTACTATGACAACCGGCTCTTCCACGCGACCCCGCGCGTCGCTCTCCGTGGACAGCTGCACGTCTAGCTGCGTCGACATTCCCGCGGCGACGAGGCCCGGTGTCGAGCGCACGACGACGCCGCTAGATGGCGCCGGCTGCCTCACCTTGAAGCGCGACGGCTCGACGCCTACATTACGCAGCAGGACAGAGCGCGCTTACCTCCCACCCGCTCCCACCGTGCCAAAGTCCACGACCGACGGCACCAGCTGAAACCCACGCAGCTTCGACCGCAGCGGCGGCGGCGGGCTGCGCCCGAGTCGACCCCCCGGAGACGGCCTCGCGTGTTTCCGCGGCGACGGCGATCGCCGCAGCTTCGCGGGCGACAGCGGGGTCGCGAGGTCGCGTGCGGCGGCGTGGCACGGGGTCGGGTTGGCGGGTCGTGGAAGCCGGTCAGGCGCCGGCGTGCTGCACATGCTGCCGGGAACGCTGCCGCTGTCCGTCGAGCCGGCGCCGTCGTCGGCGGCGACGAGAAACGCCTGGCCGAGCTCGCTGCGGAAGTACGGCGGCACGTCGCGGTCGCGCAGCGCCAGCCGGTGCGCCTGCTCGCACGCGACCTCCTCCCACAGCCGCTCCCAGTGCTCGGCGGTGAGCTTCGGGCGCGGGGGCGCCGCCGCAGGGGTCGACGGCGGGGTCAGGGTCGCCACGTAGTCGGCGAGCGTCCGCTCATCGTCGCGCGGCGCGGCGGCAGCGCGGCGGAAGACGCCGAGCAGGTCAGCGGCGCGAAGCCGCTCTTCGTCTGAGCGAGGGTCTCGCGTGCGCCTCGCGCGAGACACGCCGCCTCTCTCCGCACGCTCCTCCTGGTATCTCCTCAGGCCGGCGATCATCGCGTCTCGCAGCTCGGCTGTCATCGGCGCGTATCGCAGAAGGTTTCTGATCTCTAGGATGCGCGGGATGGCGACCGGGGCGGTGGCGGGCGCGCGGGATGGCGCATCACCGACGCTGAGACCTCTGCCGACATCCGCGCCAAATCTGACCTTCCGCTTGACCTCGGTCGGTCTCAGAGGCTCAGAGAAGTCGCGGGATTTCAAGCCCTTGGGGACAATGTCAGACACATCGTATGGTCTATCCCATCTGATTGGCAGGCAAGGCTTCAAGATGGATAGACCTGAAAAATTCAAAATATAAACTATTGTCACACAAAGCGGAACTAGACAAGTGATTGATCAAGGTCGTCAAATGGTAAGTAAGAGCATAGCTGGTTTGATCATATATAAACAATGTGACTATTGGTGTGAATGTTCCAATGCTGTTACATATGTATATATATATATATATATATATATATATATATTTATACATATATATATATATCAGGAGTAAATAATCACAGATTAGTGGTTATTTACTCCTGATATATATCATCGTTATTATTACCTGTAATTTTTGGCGACTTAGAAAGTGCAGATTCGATGACAGCGGTGGCTGGGTCAGCTCTCGCCTCAGCTAAGTAACTACTTAGATCCTTCTCCTGTAGCAATTCACCTCCATTCCCATCTGTACGGACAAAAAAGTAGCGAGGCACCTGGTCCGTAGACAAGTGAGCATTCTTTCCTGGCTGAACATCCACTTCTCCATTGGCGAACACCTGTTAAAATCCGTGTAAATTAACTAGTCTCATTATTTATTAAAAGGAAAACTAAATAAATGAATTACCTACAGAGATGTTAATCTGCTCTGACACTGCAGCTGTAATAATGAATAATCATAATGTAATAAGGAATAAGGAATATTAGAAGAATTACTCGGAAAAGAGTCAGTAGTTTAAAATAGAGACAAAGCCCTTTGTCTACGGCGGGAAGCAGGTCGTTAGGAGGGTCGACTGGCCGCTAGGGAACGAAGAACAAAGGAAGGGTTTGGTCACGGTCGCGCCCAGGGGTCACGCGGACAGCCGTGACCAATGGGAGCGATGAAGTTAGAACAAAGAACGAGCGGAAGTATAAGAAACAGGGAGAGCCAAGAAACGCGGCTAGTGCGATCTCGAATTTACGACACGTCACGTTATCTGTACCGTTGCGACAATCTAGAATACCCGTCAATAAGTAAGTTGTCTTTTGCTATGTCGCGTAACTATTTGTATTCGTCGGCTCATTCCGTGAGCACATATTATATGTAGTCCGGCTGGAATAGTAAAGATGTGTTGAGAGCGTAAGAGAAACGTTATTACACAGCATCAAAACGAGATACAAATAGGTAAGTAACAGACAGCCAAACGCATTACACATTACATCAGGATCAAAGTAATATATTGTATCATATATTATCTCAATCTCTTATTTTATATCACCTTTTTAATTTAGACGTTAAAAGGGAGCATACATGTCCCCAGTAATCGAGACATAAGGGAACTACTGAGGTCGTAGAGAAACACTGGCAGTGACTGCCCTCAGTCTAACTGTCAGAATCTTCAATGTGATGAAGGCAGAACTTATAAGAAGATTACTATAGTAGCCGTCAAAACGGTAAATCTGCACACCTTGAAAATGCTGCCGTTTGCATCTTTCATGTTGAAGCAGGTGTCACCGTTGAGTGAGAACTCATAGTGACTGCCCGTGTCACGACAAGCATTTTCTTCTGCAGAATACTGTAGCTCGCCAGATGGTGCTAGCAGCAAATGCTCCCCATTTGTAGCACTGACCTTCATATACAACAGTAATGACAAATGGTCGATAAGCAGAATTATAAAATCAAAAAGAATCGCCGCATACAGTTATCCTGTTTCTTGATTTTAGATCAACACTACATTAAAAAGAATTTTTTTAAGTAGTTTCTAATCCTTTGCATAGATTTCATCAGAAGTAGATAATAGGGATAATTCCCTATTATCTACTTCTGATTTCATGCAACAATAAAATACAGAAACGATTTAGACCTATTTTTACGATACAGAATTAGATTATTTGGACATGTTGCTAACATACATCGTAGTTGCCCTCCTGAGTAATGGTGATCATATCTCCATTTCCAAACACTGTAGTAAGCTTGTGTTCATCAGGGAAACAGCAGACAGTAGCAAAACCTGGGCTTTCCACTTTCACTTCTCTAGCTAGCTTTCCATCTATATATGTGCAAATCATTTTGAGTAAATTACGACGTGCTGAGCATTTAGCATCCTCTTTTACGATTACCACAATCTGTAATATAGTTGCAGCCTAGTTACTTTAAATTGAAAGAGAGACATGCACAGTGTAACAAAAATGGTACAAAATCACTGGTATAATTAATATTATTAATTAATTTGATTCTTTATATAGCAAATGAAAGAATATTGTAATAATGTTAACACTTTGCAGGTTTGTAGTACCAGGAACCCAAGTACACTTTGGTCCTACCGAAGTACCCCACCTTGTACCCTACCATAATACTCTGATCCATGTTCTTACATTGGAAGTAATATCAAGTGATCCAGGGTAGTAAATATACAAATTATTATTATTAATAATTTGTTATTATGCTATACCTATAATATTCATAATAAATGTTCATAATGTAAACCACACACATATGGTTTTATGGTATACTATATGGTTTCATAGATATGTTCGTGACGCCACGTGAAACCATGGCTACACAGAGTTAAACTGCACGTGAATCCATATAACGTGACCACTACAGAGAGTTATATATAGTATGACGATCACCGTTCTTAGGATGGAAGGTCGTTGTGATGCGAGTGCCATCGCAGTGTTGCACGGTGCGGGAATCATCGGGCCTCCTCACCACGACTACCTGCGTGCGAACATTAACCCAAGGTACTTTTAAAAGCAGGAAGTAATAATGCAGACCAACTGAAGATACACACCCACGCACAGATTTCTCTGGAGTTCGAGAGCAGTTCATTGCAAGAGAGAAGATAATTGAGTTTCTGCATTTCTCCCATCTATGAGCCCAACACTTAAACAGGGGAAAAAAAGAAGGAAGGGGAGGAGGAGGAGGAGAAGAAGAAGAAGAAAAAGAAGAAGAAGAAGAAGAAAAAGAAGAAAAAGAAGAAGAAGAAGAAGAAAAAGAGGATGAAGGAGAAGTAGTAGTAGAAGAAGAAGAAGAAGAAGAAGAAAAAGACGAAGAAAAGGAAAAAGAGGAGGAAGAAGGAGAGGTAGAAGAAGAGGAAGGAGAAAAATAAGAACATGTGTGGGTAATTTTATCTGGGATGACCTGCAAGCAACTTCACAAGTATCCACTACCTCATCATAACTTATGATCAGCATATATTGCAAAAAGGCAAGTACAATCTTCCGTAACCTTGACATCATCTGGGAATGAGGGTTGATGGGTTGATGACTTAGAAACAATAACTACACTAGCGCCCTCTACCTCATCGTGTCTCACGATGAGGACCTCCTTGCTGCTAGGGTCAACTGCGACGGACGAGTAGATGGGCTCGCTAGCGCCCTCTTCACACGTGCCGGCAGCGGTCGTGTAACGCGTGCCGTCGCTAGCCGTCACGTCCCATCGCAGCGACGCATCACCATCAGCGCTGTCCACGTCGCACCTGGAATATTCGTGATGCTTTGAATGTGCAAAGAGAATGGGTTAAGGAGATCAGGTGGCATCGAACAATGGGTCTAGTGATTATTATGATCTGATATTTTTGAGACGGACAGACAGACAGAGAGAGCGAGAGGGAGAGAGAAAGATCAGGGAGTGGAAATGGAGTGGCAAGGAAGAGGAGGAGGCAGAGGAACGGGCAGGCAGAGGGACAGCGAGAGAGTGTGTGTTGAAGAGGAAGGATAGAAACACATTGAGAGGAAAAGGGGGAAAGAAACACTTCTATATATACACATACAAGAACAATAATAGCTGTATAAATCTCAGTATAGTCTGTTTGGGAGGTTATGCACGTGAAGGTAGCACTATCAGTTAGGCATTGAATTATACAAAATCTTTCCATTTGGCTGAAAGCAGGCTCTTGCTACATATCTGCAGAGTCAAACTGACTAATCGGCACCTCACCTGCTTACAGACCCATCACTGTGCATCACGTGCAGTTTACCATCTGGCTGGAAGAGCACAACAGTGCCATCATGTAGGATGTAGCGACAGCATTTCGTTTTGTCATTTTCCGTTCTGTAGGACAATCGTGTGAACACCTGTAAATACATCAGTCGCTGAACGTCAGTTCGTCTGCATCTTATTCTTCATTTCATTGCCGATTATTTGATAACTGAATCCTGCTTGTGTTACGTAATAAGAAACCAAAGAAACTCATATTATATCACCAGTAAACTCACCTCTGAGGTGCCTGGTGCGTCAGTGATTGAGATGTACTGCACACACATTCCGGTAGGACAGCACAGCTGCAAGGACAGTGCCTTCTGTGACGCAAAACACGAAGACAAGCACGGCGTTTCGGGGCCATCCTCATCTGGCTGATTCTCCATCACCGGTGATGCTAGCTTTGCTGACTCTGTCCCATCCACCAAAGCACCGGTCACCTCACTATTAAGCAGGCTGAAGGTCAGACACATACCGTCGGCTAGCCGAGCGGTGAATGACCTTGCACCGCTCTCCTTATTGTGCAGATGCAAGGCCGTATCGCGCTTCCTCACGGAGAGCAACGTGTTTGGCACGTGCTCTTGCAACGACGTCGTCTTTACCTCAATTACACTGCCATCGCAGGGGAACGCGGCCCGTGTTGTCCCTCCGCCGCAGAAGAATTTGTTGCCGAGGTCGTAACCATAGAATGGAAATTCGTTGTCCGATGTTCCCGCTGGTGCATGCACTTTCGGCGCTTCGGCCGCCTTATTGCTAGTGATTGATATCACGCTCGCACGGGTTGCGGTGTGCTTCTTATCATCTTTTGCAGCAGCCTTTGTTTTGCTTCCTTTGCGGGCTGGAGACGCTTTTGTTCCATGCTTCCCACTGCTTCTCCTGCCTTCTTCTTCTTGCTTTGCCTTCTCCTGCTCCAATTTCAAACCTTTTAGGGAACCGGCTCTAACGAACGAAGCGTCAACGGTCGTCGGTTCGGACGGAATCAGAGCCGAGGGGGTCGAGTTACCCTCCACCTCCACAAGTTTTGCCTTCCTCACTTCCTCCTCCTCCACAGCCAACCTGGCTTCATACTTCTCATCTTCAGCCGCCGTCCACTCCGTTAGATCTTCCGCGAAGCATTCCAAGTAGTTTCTGAAGCCGACGTCGGAGTGAACCTTGTACGACCAGTCAGCGAAGCTCTGCAGATTTTTGTTGTGGGGACTGTGCAGAGCGAGGAGCAGGGAGTTGTCGCGCCTCTGCCAGTAGGCGTCGCAGTGCGACACCTTGTCTCTCGCCGCGCTCAGAACCTGAAGCAGCGCCCGCTTCTCGAGCAGGTCGACGTAACAGAACTCCGACAGGTCTCTCTTCACGTCGGGTCCGTCCTCGAAGCGAACGGTGCTGCTCGTCAGGCGCAGGCCGGCCTGAGATGTGTTCTTCTTCAGTATGCTGGTCGTGCTTGCATTCGCGCTCACAATCTGCTGCGAGGCGGTTGGTGACGCGCAGGTCAACACGTTCATCGTGCTGGGCGTGCTCGCTTGCTCGTAACTGTCACTCATGGAGGAAAGCTTCGCGGCTGATAGGGTGGATGACCTGCTATCTTGATCAACAATGCTCGACAGCCGATCTTGATGCTTGCTGGCCGCACCCGTCGACTCCGATACAGACTTGGACTCGTATTGGCTGTCACTGTCAGACACAGCAGCATTACTGAATGTGCCCTCTTGCTGACTAGATTGTGAGGAAGAAGCAGTGGTCTCCGCGCCAGCGTTCAATCCCGATTGCATGTCTTTGTTCTGAGAACTAGGAGGCAAAGTCTCCCAAAATTCTACTTCCGAGCGGGAATTCTGTCCAGTGGAGGCTGGCTGTTGGGAATACGCGCGTGCAGAAATGCTATCCGTTTGAAGCGGTGTAGTGTAAGGATCGTCCCAGGCGATGGGGACCGAGTCAGCGGGGCAGATGCACCCATTACGGTTAGCGAATGCTAGCGACATGCTCTCCAGGATGAAGTTTTGAAGGACGAAATCAACATGTGCATCAGAATGCACAGAGTTCTTGCAGAAGTGCAGCAACTGGTGAAGCCGTGCCTCACGCTCTTTCGAAATGGCATGGGGCTGCATCTCTTCGAGTTTCTGTAAAAGCTTTGTGAAGACACTGTGGGATATCATGCTCCATTCTGTTTCCTTGGCCGATAGAAGAGAGATTTCTTTCTCGTCGCGAGCCTCTACTGTGCAGTCATTATGAGCAATGTGATCACCATATGTTACCACTACTGGTGTGTGATGATTTTCCTTCGCGCTTGAACTGTCCATATCTCTGTGTTCAATCATGCCAAGCTTATCTTTAAGCACGTCCAATTCTTCCTGTTGCTCAGTACTGCTATCCTTCAATGTAGAAAAACTCTTTCCTTCTTCCGTAGCAACAACTTGCTCGACAATGCAGTGTAGAATAGAGGGAACAGAGACTTGCTCTGCTGGCAAGGAGTTCATCATGGACTGGTAATAACTCATGTCAACGTCGCTGCTGGATTCATCTCTGGCAATAACAGGCACATGTATGACTTGAGTATGACTCTTGTAGTTAATGTACTGCTGTTTCCATGTCAGAAGTTCGTACAGTTGTTCTGCGACAGTATCAAAGAGAGAGGCACCCAGTGCTTTCCTCTCATCTGTGTTGTCTTCGCCCCTGTCATTATGATCTACACTAGCTTTGCACGTTAGCACTGCAAGTTCTTGTAGGAATGAAGAATCAGATGCCTGCTGTAGAATACCGCCAAGGTCCGACCAGAATTTTGAAATTAGTTCATCTTCATCGGCACAGTCTTTCTCCACCTGAAATCTGATGACCGCAGATATTTTCACACCGACGTCAACGACGGATGAGATTATACCTGCATCGTAGAAGCCGCTGATGAGAACATAAATATCTGGTCCATCTAGCGGTTCGTCGTTGATGTATTTCGATTCTTCATCCTCCTCGCCTCGTTTTTTCAACTTGGTTTCCTTCTTCATTAGCGGTTCAGGTGTTTTCTTGTCCCCCTTTTTGCCTCCTGCACTCTTTGATTTTCGAGACTTATCCTTAGCACTTCCTTTGACATCTACTTCTTGTTTATGCTCTTTCTTCTGCTGGTTAATAGACTTCAGCCACAGCAACTTGAACTTGATCAACTTTGCTAATAGTGGTACTGGGATTGGCTCGCCTGTATCTAATATGGCTTTGACAGATTCACATATTTCAACAAACGCAGGAACCTCTTTTATTTTTCGGTTCTTCGGATTACCCAATTCTTCAACATCTTTGAAAATGTCTTCCTTGGTGATGGTAGTGAATCGTTTTCTGGTTCCAGTTTGCACAGCATCCACTAGTGCATCTACAAATATATTTGATATAATATGAATAAACACATTATATCAGTATTATTATATTATCAACACTTAATTAGAGGCACTGACAGTCTAATGACATTGACATGCCTGTGACTCTCTTGTACTCGTAGTAGGCTGAACACTTGTGTGGATAGCTTTATTTAAGGTAGCTCTTTGCTCTGCCACGGGAGCGATTTTTTCCTCGCTGTGGTGGAGCGAAAGGCTATACACACGGGTAGAGCTATTCTTGTAGAGCGAGTCCTCATAACTTATGACATTCAAGGTCCACAGGACTGTAACGAAGAATCCGGCACGTCACCGTCGATCAAATTGAAAGATCAACACTGCGTAGTGCATTAGGAAGCTGTCTATCTTAACTGGAGAAGAAGGGAATAATTACTGGAGAACGAAATATTAACTAGAAAAGAAGGGAAAGAGGCTTCCAGTACGTATGCTATGAAATGACAGAAACATGGGCAGACGAAGATTCCCCTTGCTTAACGAAGCCTATTCGTAGTGTTGATTTGTCTCTATATCTCTCCCTGTCTCTGTCTGCTTGTCTGTCTGTCTGTATCTGACTCTCTCTCTCTCTCTCTCTCTCTCATCTCTCTCTCTCTCTCTCTCTCTCTTCTCTCTCTCTCTCTCTGTCTATTTGTATCTCTCTCTCTATCTGACTCCGCTCTCTTTCTCTGTCTAGTTACCTGTATCTCTTTCTCTGTGTGTGTGTTGTGTCGTGTGTCGGTGGGCTGTGTGTGTTGTGTGTCTGTGTGATTTGGGCTGTGTGTGTGCGGCGTGCGTGCGTGCGTGCGTGCGTGCGTGCGTGTCTGTCTGTCTCATATAGTCCTTTGAACTTTGAAGACTATATACAATGTCGGTTAAAAACAGAAAAAACTTGAACGAATACGTAGACTGGGACTTTTGGCGCTGGATTCCAGGAAGAGTACAAATGATAAGCAATATTTTATATTTATTTCAACTAAAAAGCATCTTATTAACGAGGCAATATGTTGCATCAAACTCCAAGCAGCTCCAAAAAATACAATTTAGTCATATTCTCTTAGCAACGTTCAAATGCGTCCTTAGCAACTGACATGGAATGTACATAAATTCACTACGCAGTAATACTAATACCTAAATCTGTGCTTTCGGTTAAGTTAGGTACGATCCAAACAACACTAGCTTTCCATTCATCATCTTCAAATGCAGTAGATTGCAAGGCGCTTTCCCAGCTACTTATTCCAGCACTTCCTCGTCCTTTTCGTTTAGACATGTTTGTATTTCAGCTGGCAAAACTCAAAAACACCGCGTCTTCCACGACACATGCCAGATGGCGCAACATGCGATTAAAAGCAGTTTATACTTCCAACACCAGATGGCGCAACGTACGGTTGATAATTTGATAACTCTTGCAGTTGCAGTGTTTCATTTTTGTAAACAGATCCGATAAGTACTGTTACATGCATTATATCGCGTTTATCGACTGTGTTGCGATGTGAACTGTACAGCAATGCATAACAGAGATTACAGTACGGAGCCTGAGCAAGATAGTGACCAGGTTGATGTGCAAATGCAGGCTGGGGATGGCACTTTGCGAACTCGACACCGTTCGTCCTCTACTTCACACGATGAAGCTGCAGGAACGAAATACCCGTTTGCTCCTGGCGCCCCAATGACTGTTAGAGCTATCGCCTCGGACTCACAAAAAGAAAATACACATCAGAAAGACGAACAGACGCCTGAAAACACTAGCCAGACACTAACTGGCAGATGGTTTAGGCGATTCCGACGAAAACATCATGTCATGCCCCACAAACCGACAGTTATTGATCACATAAAAAACATACTATTATGTCCACCGATTGGCAGATTTGCGAGGACTCTGACGTTGCTGCTTTTGGTGCTGTTGTTATGGGGGGTCCTGTGGTCACTGACAAGGGAAGCTGCATTGCCTGGAGGCTATCTCTTTGCTCTCCTAGCCGTAGTAGTGCTATCCATGATTGGAGGCTGGCTTGTCACTTTTATTAGATTGCCAGCTTTGCTTGGTATGTAAAACATTCATTTAAATGTGGGCAGTATATAAGGCTACAGTTGCTTAAATTTTATACAATTATTGTCTCATAATTATATAGCGGTGTGATGCAGATAGATCAGTACAATGACCATGCAGTCAATGTTATAAATCAGTAAATTAAATATAATATATACAGTTATCACTATCAGTGGTAGAGTTGTATTGAATGTGCTCATCATTTGTGTGATTATATATATAATACACCATTACACATGTATATATGACATGTGAATACTTATGTTCAATGTGCATCATGGTAATCTGTTTCAGGCATGTTGGTAATGGGCGTCTTGTTGAGAAACCTGCCGGTCGTGAACATTGCCAAGGATCTAGACAGAGACTTGTCCTCGGTGCTTAGGTAGAGCATAACAATCAAACCTGTGTCAGCAGACAACTATGAAGAATGAACACCTGTCTGTCTATAAAGGACAATTGAATTTTTCTTGAGCAGCCATTATATAGTAAATCCACATGCGTAGAGTTGAAACCTGTCTATAATGAACACTTTTGAAGTTTGTTTAATGACCCTCATATACATCATTGACTGTCAATGTGATGTCTGATCTCGAAAATACATTTACATTTTATCATAACTACTGTAATCCTGGTACATGCTTACAACAACCAAGAAATCATTTATGTGTGTAATTCATGCAAGGATTATGACTGTATTGTGTGCTGCTAATAATTATTGCTTGTTTAGGAATGTTGCGCTGGTGGTGATCCTCATCAGAGCTGGTCTCGGGCTGGATCCCGTTGCGTTGCGGAGACTTGCATTCGTGTGCATCAGGCTTGCCCTTACTCCCTGCCTGGTTGAGTGCATAACCGTGGCAATAATGTCTCACCTACTGCTCGGATTTCCCTGGGAATGGGGATTCCTGCTAGGGTAAGGCTGTTATTTTATTGTTTGTAAATAAGCGCTGTGGCAATTTCGTTATAAACCAAATATGTGTATGCACAACCATGCACATCTGTATAATTTATTTACAACAGGCACATACATGCATCCAAACATGCCGCACATACATACGAACGTGTTCTGAACAAGAATTCTGTGAATAAGAGTTTGTGATGGGTCGTTGTTTTAGGTTTGTTCTCGCGGCTGTCTCGCCGGCCGTCGTCGTTCCCAGCCTCATCAGCATTCAGCAGCAAGGTCTCGGCGTTGCTAAGGGCATCCCGACCCTCGTGATTGCCGCCGCTAGTGTCGACGACGTCCTTGCCATCAGTGGCTTCAGCGTTGTTCTCGGCATAGCATTCTCCTCGGGTAAGTCATCGAGACATCCTATTTATCTGGTGTGCGGAGAGGGATGCTGCTGTGGATGTAGGTTTTAGTCGTAATACAGTGGAACCCCGATTTTACGCGCCCCGATTTAACCCGAATTTGGATATAACGCGATGAGTCGTTGGACCCCCTTTTTTGGCTCTTATATAGCCACATATATATAATCCCGATTTAGTGCGACTCCACTTTTTTCGCGATGACATTTTATGGACCCCAACCATCACGTTATAACAGGGCTACACTTAACTGTACAACCAAATCTGTATAGGAGGGTCGTTCATGTGAAATAAAAAAATCGAGGTGTTTGCGCTGTTGAGGTAGTTTCATTGCATAACAGCTACTGAAGGGAAATTCCAAAAGTTTCCTTCATATGCAGGTGTTTGTTGATCATTGATAATTATGCGTCCGTCGAGTTGTTCACGAGATGAACTTTAACAGGAGTAAATTTGATTGTAACAGATTAGATCAAAAGAGATATTGAATAACCTAAGCTTGTATAACACTGTAGTCGTAACAAACCGTAGATAATTTTAGGCTTCTTACCTCATAATCTTATCACAAGAGCACAGACCTGTGTGATTGCATTTATTGGGATGTATAGGCATACACTTACTACAGCTGCTTCAATTACAGGTAGTCTTGCATGGAGTATAGGACGTGGCCCGTTGGAACTTCTCCTAGGAATATCGTTTGGCTGGCTCGCAGGAGTTATCACCTGGTATCTTCCAAACTTCTCTGAGGTAAGTTAAGGTGTCAGGGATCGAGTTTCGGAGCATAGCTGGTAATCCCAGGGGTGAATTTCCTTCAAGATTTCTCATGGATTTGGTATGACCACTTCCGGCAGTTAATTCATTAAGCTAATGTTGACATATTCAATGTGTATTACTTTGTGAATTAATAATTGCAGCCTAATATGTTGTAATAGTTGTTTAAAAAAAATCGAACTGAAGTGGAAAATGCAAATGGCCACACGATCATACATGTTCGTGCAATCTGTGTGTACATGTAAGGTCTTATCTGCTGTAGGGTATAATAGTTAAAAAAGATGAACACGATTAACTGAAAATGCATTGTTTTTCATTCGAGGCAGCTCTTCATTCTAGGTTATATGGTACATGATTTCTACTTTGCATCATACTTTCAGGGGAATGTTGTGCTGCAGCGATTCTTGCTACTCTTTGGTGGAGGCCTGTTCTCAGTGTTTGCCAGCAAGGCAGTGGAGGTTTCAGGTGCAGGTGCTCTTGGCTGTCTGAGCATGGCATTTGTCTCTGCCTATCACTGGAGAAAGCAGGGCTGGACAGACGGCAATGTAGGCAAACAATTTTCGTAAACAATAAGCTTGCACATCATGCAAACATCAAAAACATACTGCTGTAATTTTATAGAGAGTGAAACGATTATGAGGCATTGTAACTTGTACTGTACAGGATAACATTAATTGTTTATACCGACTGATGTTAATTTGATCTGTTAAATGTGTAGGTTCATCGTTTTAATATTTTCGTTGTGATGTCTTCTGGGTATCCACTATCCTTACTAAATTGTAAGCATGTTAAAATGCCAACGAAAAACGCAAGTATTTGGTTTTATGCCAACATTGAATAAATGTGGCTCCCTAATTGGATTAGTGCTGATTGAGTTTCAGCTGTTAAAATAATGGCTTAACATAAGTGCATGGCTGGTTGTTTCAGAATCCTGTTGCAGACATCATGGCTGCATTGTGGGTTGTGTTTCAACCAACTCTGTTCGGTCTCATTGGAGCTGAGATAGACATACATGTGATACAGCTTCAGACGATCGGTGAGTGTGCTTTACAGGTAAAATAGGTCAATCTGCACTGTTGCCGAATGCCGGAATACCTGATACCTTTTGTCATTTATAAGTGTATATAATGCCAAATTCATGTTCATCAAATGGTTTATTTCGTTGCATTTATTTGTTATGTACTGTTTCTTGCATGCAGGACTAGGAGTAGCTGTCCTCGCGGTGGGGCTGTTTTTTAGACTGATAGCTTCTGTCTGTGCAGTCTCCTTTGCTGGGTTCAGCTGGAAGGAAAAGGGCTTCATCTCTCTCGCTTGGCTTCCCAAAGCTACTGTACAGGTTGGTCTGTCTGTTCACTGATGTGTACACTATGTGGAAAAACTGCAGGTGTCTTTTTCTATGGAAAGGTGGGATAGTGTACCCACCCTCTTTTTTCAATCCTACCCATTTTTCATCACAAAAATATTTTATTAAGAAACTTATATTGTTCAGTGCAGTTATTATTGTTATTTGAAACAATTCCCTTGAATGCATTCAGAAATCATTAAATGTGCCACTTGACTAATGACATTATTCTAATGAGGTGTCAGTCATTGGTTACTTGTGTTCATATACATGCACATACACAGCATGAATGTGCCCACAAGGTCATCTCACTGTGTGGTTTTTACTTTGAAACAGGCAGCTATAGGTTCAATTGCGCTGGAAACAGCCAGGGAGAGAGATGCGGGAGCCGTGAAAGAAGACCTAGGTTTGCAAGTAAGTGTAAGCGGTATTTCCATGGCCGTGCATCATCGTTGCTTGGCTTCATTTTGCATTATTTTGTTAAATGCAAAGCTGAATAATATGTGTACATATGTGCCAGTAATGAAATCTAGATGTGTGCTACAGTCAACGCTGCATGTGCAGGACACCTCTATACTCTTAACACACACCTGTCTCTAAGGACACATCTGGTGTTTTATTTTAGCAGCACTTGGTACCCTGGTATATAGGCTTCACTATCTTCATTCTGCCCATGTATCCATTAGCATTTATACAAAATGTAACTGTGATTGTCTTGTAAGATGGTCTGTTAACTATGTTGTTGTTTGACAGGTGCTGACAATAGCTGTTCTTGTCATACTAATTACTGCACCGATTGGAGCGGCTGCTATAGCGTTGTCTGCACCTAGACTGCTAACACATGACGCCACCTATGGGCAGGAATCGTCACCAACGCGTGCCAATGAACATCAGCCAGTACTAAGCGAGGAGAATGCGTGTGATGCTCGATATGAGATATCTACGATGTAGAACTCATGTCAAAAGCAGTTACATTTTGTTTTGTTATTTTCTTCAGTCATTTTTAAACTCGGTTATTAGGTATTTTGCTGTTTTATAAGTTTGATTTCCTTTGTTCATGGCACACAGTAGAGTTGCAGAGATGATGAACGCGTGATCACGAGTGAATAAAAACAAATTTATTGTATTTTATTTACTCCTACTGTTTATAGATTATGAGGTATGGGGGGGGGATCAGAAAATGAATGACATTTCACGCAGGGGCGCATATGGCACCCTTATCATTTTGATAATAACTTTTGGCTATAGCATTTTTAGCTCGCCTTGACATCGTCAAGATGAGCTATTGCCATGGGGTGTCGTACGTCCGTCCGTCCGTCCGTCCGTCTGTCAACATTTGGCTACGGTCAACTATAACTCAAGAACCGTTTGACCCATATGTTTCAAATTGCATATAGTTGTTACTCCTATGGGAGAGGTTTCAACGTTCTATTTTGGAGCACACCAGTCGACCTACTTTCGAGTCACGGCCACTTTTTGGCAAAAATGGAAATGGCCATAAGTCAGTTCAGGTTCAACGGATTTTGCTCATTTCTAGTATGTGAATGAATAAAGACTGGCCCCAAAACATATCACACGGGTTTTGATTTTTTTTTTAATTATGCAAATTAGGTAGATTTTGCCAATTTCACTATGCATTTCAGTGTCTGCCTATGGTCAACGATAACTCAAGAACCGTTTGACCCACATGTTTTAAATTGCATACAGTTGTTACTCCTATGGGAGAGATTTGAACGTCCTATTTTGGAGCACGCCAGTCGACCTAGTTTCGAGCCACGCCCACTTTTTGGCAAAAAAGAAAATGGCCATCTAAATTCATTTTATTTTGTTAAATTTTGGTATGTGAATGTGTAAGGCTAGCCCCAAAACAGTTGTTACTCCTATGGGAGAGATGACAACGTCCTATTACGTTTATTACGTCCAACTGGTTAACAACTCTACAATCATATCTATATACGTGTAATATTCGGTTTTAGATTCTTCGTTACAGTAATTTGACTGGAATATTTTATGGTTTTTATTTGCACGATATTCGAAAACCTAAATGGCGATCATTTAGGCGTAGCGCCAGCTCTCGTCAATATTTCAGACTTTCAGATCTGAAACATTTATTTTCGCATCAAAACTTATGCATATATCATTATCAAGAGTATATAATGGGAGATATGCTATATAATGGGAGTTCTCTCATATATACTCTTGCTTTATATATCCCCCCTCCCTCTTCTATCACACCCAAGGTGAGCTACAGTGTCATTGACACTTTCATTTATGTTTAAGAGTGAATAAATAATAAATTGTTCTTATATTCATTCCTGATATTATATAAGTTCATAACTTACGAGCGATAAAGGTCAGAAAATTGGTGAGATGTCACTCTGATAGCATATGGCAGCTAAATGAGTTCTAAGTCCCGTTTCAGCAACAGGTAAAGGAGAAGGTGGTATCTATTGTCTAGATATTTTTGGTTTTCATCCTTTTGATTATTACCTTTCTGTTTGTCAATTTTTATACAACTGCTATACTGAATATATGCCATAACACAAATATTGTATAGATAGATACATTAGTTTCACGTACTGCACAAATGGCGTTGAAACCAGTCTGAACCCTTCTTTTATGTATGATATTTTAAGAAATGTGAGCACGTGTGGATAGAGCAATGGTACAGTAGGTTTTACGCGCAATTATTATAGACGCTATAAGTTTTCTGTGCCCGGGTTTTGTGAATAAATGTAAATATGTCCATTCTGTTACGTTATAATATAGAGAAATTGGTTGCCCTTTTTAAATGTTGTTATCTGGCTTGACACTGACTATCGGCAACTACAGAGAAGATAGAGCTGGCGTTCTTGGGTTACTTTTTAGCGAGAAGAATTGAGATAGTAGAGTAGCTGTACATGTCGGGAGTGAGAGAAGGGGAGACAGAGAGTAAGACCGAGAGCGCATGAGGAAGAGAAGAGAGAGAGAAAGAGAGAGAGAGAGAGAGAGAGAGAGAGAGAGAGAGAGAGAAAGGGTTAAAGAGTAATAGGGATTGGTAGATTGTTGGACTGGTGGGAAAGATATAATAAGTGTATGGGCGATGTGTGTATCTCTATCATGAGTCTGCGAACGTGTATTCGTGTGTTGTATGTGTATACGTGTATTGTGTGTGTATACATGTGTTGTATGTGTAGCTGTGAGTGTAGCTGTAATGGGTGTATGTATGTGCATATGTATATGTGTGTTGTATGTGTGTATAGATGTGTTGAATCCGCATAAACGCTCAAAATATGCGGATGAATGTATAATTAACGACGTGGAAGCAACGACAAAAAATATTGGATTTATGAGCAATCAAACGAACTTTGATATTTTAATCGTTTTTACGTCTACCGTTAAAAATGTCTAATGTCATCTAGCACACTATACATTATTCTGCACATGTATGCGGGACACACAGAGACCTGAGCAACAGAGTAAGGCTGTTTCAAATGCGAAACCCGAGGAAAGTAAGTGATGGTATTTGCAAGGTTTATCATGGTAAAGTGAAATTTGATCATTGGAGTTTTTTCCGTTCTTCTCTACTTCCAGTAAAGTTAAAACTTTTTCTACGGCAATCCGCAGTGTTGATCTATTAGATCAACATTGACTCTCCCCTTACACTATATCTACTCTTCCATACAGTCCCTTAGATTTTGAAGAATAATTTTTACGGGGTTATGAGAACTAGTGTGATAAGCGGATCGCTACATTACGTCATCTGTCACGCACTGTCGACATTGGCGCGACATAACTACGCCTGACGACATTTCCGCCCGAAGAGTTGACACATGACAAATCGTAATTAACATTGATGCAAAATAGCGGCTAAGGAACTTCTTCGTTAAATATGCAACTCGGCTACAACGATAACAATATACATGCTCTCTAACTAAAATACTGAATATGAGAATATAACTATGTAAGAATCAACGCGTGTGTGAGTGATCATTGCGGTGGTGGTACGTAACCTCTCATTTCCCTGTGGATCCAGTTAACGTAGCTGGATACGCGCGTGTACACGCCTGGGCTGTACGCGTTTCCACAGCTAACGCCCCAGCTCACGACGCCCAACAACGTGTGGTTACCTACGAGGTGAAAGTAAAACAGTGTACATACATTATATATATATATATATTTATATATATATATATACATGTGAGGAAGCTATCTGTAGTATAAATCTGCAGTACACAGCGCTTTCTATAATACATATAATCTATATAAATAATAATCTGTCGATTTGATCAATATTTTGCTCACTCCCTCATAATTACGCTTCCTTAGATTGTGAACGATATTATATGTGGTTTAGAACTAGCAGAAGAGAAAGATGAAGGAAGGGGGAAGAGAAGAGGAGGGTGACTTACCGCCAATGTCGCAGACTATAGGCCCGCCGGAGTCTCCCTTACAGGTGTCGACACCTCCTTCCAGGTAACCGGCACAGAACATGTCGTCGGTGATCTTACGTCCGTAGACGTTGTAGTGACTGCAGTCGGCATGTGATATCAGCGGCAGCGTCGCCGCCTGCAGTTTGCGCGGATAGTAGCTTCTAGCTGAAACACGAAAGTCCACCGGGGATACGTATATAATATATATATATATATGTACATCAAGACCTAATAATACATCAGTAGTATTATGTACATTACTAATAATACATGTATTATTAGCTCTTGATATACATATATATGTCAGAAGTAAATAATTAAAAAAAAATATATATTTAAAAAAAAAATATATATTTATCGCTATACGTGCAACCATATATGCCATTTCTTCGGTATTCTCTCACAGTTTGCGATGTTGCCCCAGCCGGATATGAGGCACTTGGTGCCGGCGAGGTAGATCGCGTCGGCGCTCGGTAGACAGGCCGGCTGCACGTGCCGATTAAAGATGATTCCGTGTCCACTGTCATCGTACTTAATGCGTATCAGAGCGATGTCGTCTGACATTTGCGGTCCTGTGGAAAAAGGAAGATAGTTGCTGAATATGCTTTAAACTGATGCACACACGCGCGTGCGCACGGCCGCACGGACATAATATATGATATATTAATAAAAATATTGTGTATAAATAATTAAATATATAAATATATATATATGGGTGCAGGTAGAGAGAGAGGAGAGGGAAGGTGGGATAGAGAGAAACGAAAGAAAGCAGGGATGATGTCGCATGCATGATGCAATCGTACCCGACACACGCACGTACATGTCATCACTGCAACATTCGATATCGTATCAAAGGTTGCCGTTTACCTATATTCCACTTGCGATGGACGAAAATGTCCTCGATGTCGAACTCTTGCTCGTATGTGTCGGGTTTTCTATTATCCCAATCCCCTACCCGTACAACGTAGTAGCTCTTCGGGTAGTCTCTGTAATATGGGAAGCCATTTAATAATTGTTAACGAAAGTTTTGGCTTGGAAACTCCATCATAGCTTGCTAGGCCCCCCACCAACTGCTGTTGTATATTGTCACTATGATATCAAGAACGGATAATACATTTTCTACACTACTGTTGATAGCGATGGCATATGCTACCAAGGTTTCCCACTAGGTGCTGCTGCTACACGGTGGCAGAAGAGCAAAAACGTACCACCAGCCTTCAAGTTCTCAAAACGATGATATTATATCGACATTACAAAAAAATCATAAAAACTAACGTTCTCCTATTGGGATCCTTTTTCGAAACTGATACATCAATTACCTATAATACATGTAGGCATGCTACATACTAAATTACAATAATATCACTTACATACTAACTAATAAATTCAATATGCGTGAATACGTAATCATGTTACCAATCTACTCCATATATTGCACCTCGAACACAGCGACATTGCGTTGTAGCACTCATACACTTACTCCACACAGTGTGCCGCAGTGACAACCCACCACTGTCCAATAATAGTTGCACCGCAGTGTGATTTAGTCGAGAAGCCCCACTTGGACTTTTTTCGGAGTCCCGCCTGCGTATATATGACGTAGATCAGTATATATCATCGCTTTGACTAACATACTGCCTACAGGTGTGATTTGACATATCGTCTTCTAATGCGATCCGTCGGGGATTCAGTTACGCTCGTTATAAATTCACCGCCGGTCGCTCCCGGACTTTAAATTTTGGGGAAAACATTCGTTAACAGTATAGAAATATACAGAGACACCTAACTATCTAATATATAGAGAGAGCATAGTATATTATTTCTATGGTTAACCGTAACAATGATCCAGAAACGTGTGCATCATGTTAGCAGTAACGATTATTTCGACATTTAAGAAAGATATAGATTAGTCGTTAACATTTAAGTATTCGCGGGGTATGACATCTATATAAGAGATAGACGCGTCTTGTTGCTACCTGCCAGGGATATGCGCCGTAGCTAGCCTCAAAACCCCCGATGACCTTGGCGGACATGGCAGCTGGGTCGTTCGTCTGCTCTGTTATGAAGCGATTACCGCACTCGCAGCAGTCGTCATCGTCTACATAATATGATTAGAGATATTACAGAAACTTGCCCTCTCTCTCTCTCTCTCTCTCTCTCTCTCTCTCTCTCTCTCTCTCTCTCTCTCTCTCTCTCTCTCTTTCTTTCTCTCT